TGAAACGACTTTCCACTAGGTAGTTGCTTTGAGACTACAGAATAATGATTGCAAACAGAATAGCCAATCGACAATACCTCAAAACCACATAACCTCAAGTCTAAAGATCAAAATAATCTTATCCAAAGCAGTGCTGCAAAATCAAGCAAACTTGATGCTAAACTGAAGGAAGTAATGCGATTGTGGCGAATAAGTTTCTACAAGTGTTTTCGTGACGGAAAATTCAAAGTGAACCTGATGACAGAATTGGAAGTGCTTCCACGGTTTGTTTACTTGTTCGCTAGGTCAAAACTGTTGATTTATTCAAATCCCAACTTCGTAGTTTGTAAGTGATTTCAACTAGAAGCAGATTTCTTTTTTTACAAATGAATACAACCCTTGCAAATAAAATGGGTTGATCTTTAATTAAATCACTTTCAATTAATTTTACTGAATTTTTTTTTTGCGGAAATAAGATTTGGTCGGTTTTATCGATTGTTCTAGAAGTATAATTGTCTCCCCAATGGCATACAAGGGTTCATCCGTACCGAAACGTTGACAAAATCGATTAAACCAATTTGCCATCGGGCCTCATTAGGTACATCGGGCGCAAGGCTCAACGGTGAACATTGAAGCACCCCCAAACGGCTGAAAATGACGGTCGAACATGCCGAAATCGACTGCCAAGCGGACAGCTACGTGCGAACTCAATTGCGAGGCCTTTATCTTCTTTACTGACACAATCTCATACAAAGTACTACAAGAAGCGATAAAAACAAACCAAGGACAATTTGTTTGTAATGAAATATGATAACAGAGACCTTGAAGAAAAATATGAAAAAAAAGTTCTAAAAGTGTAGGCGTCGTGTTTCGCCATTATCACTTTGAGGTTGTAGAATCTAGAGACTTTTTGTTCCTAACTTGAGACCGCGTTGTCAACAACTGCACGATAGAATCTTTCTGTTTTACAAGATCAAAAGAAGCGAGGCACAAAACAAATTGAATCTGGCATCAAACAAGTGTATCCGTAGTAATATCAAATCAGCGCAAAAAGTTATTTACCTTGTCATTGAATTATTGTTTAATTTTCGCATCTACTGACAAAAAAATATCTTGTTATTTTATGTTATGTCTCTTTTATCTTCAACTTTGAGGTTGTTTAGTTAGGAATCTGCTTCCGCAGCGGAGCATTAAACTGAAAGCACAAAGTTCCTTAGCAGGTTGTTGTTATAGCATTGGACACGGATGTTGAATCCACAGTCTTGGAATCGCATTGTCCGTGCAAAGATCAATCCCAACTCTTGAGAGACGGAATGCTTTTCAACACCTCCGGGCTTTCACCAGAAGTCATTTGTCTTAGTAATGTAATGTTTAAAAACACAACATTTATCTTGTTACGCACCACATAAAAAACTCACTGTATGTTAGAGTTGTATAACAAAAAAAATATCCGTGTATAAAAAGAAGAATGTGGGTATATGAGTGTGTTTGTTCCTTTCATAAAATTTAACGAAGTGGTTGTCTTGCTGAATGGTCTGAATTACGAGTGCTGGGAACAAGCGCGTTGCACTTTCCACACTCTTAACGCTCGCCGCACTTTTCGCCCATTTCCACGACTTCCAGTTGTACACACTTTTTCCATGCTTCAACGTAATTATCTCCACGTGCAAGTTCTTCAACTTCTCGCCAGGTGCCATAATGACCGTCGTCGTGCACTTGAACTAAAAAATAGAAATAAAACCCAACCACGAAAGATACAGCTCGTTAAGCGTGTATGCTCTAACTATTTTATGTGTGTACGTTTGGTTGTCTAAATATAAGAGCTAATGGAATTCGGGGCATTCAAAAGTCCATCCTATGTCAATGTTTGGAATAACTCCAATGACTTGTGTATTCCATTCCTAGAAGGTAACTATGTACATCCTTTTACTGCGAAGAATTGGATTTTCCCTGGAGACTTCTTGTAGATGTGCTTTAGCTCGCAGGCAGCCACCGTGAAATGTCGACCTGGCACATGCCTCGCATCCCATACATGTTTTGCATTCGAAGCGGGCTACCGGTGTACAACTACAAGTACCTACAGGCGAGTGCAAAGCTGCACTCAACATTGTAAATACCTTTCAACCCCACAAACCTCGTAATGTTAACCTCTAAAACCTCCATACAAGAATCTAAACATAAAACTAATCCAGTGACAAAGTTTTGAAAAGCTTGAATGTATTGGTGAATGATTTAAAACTTAATTTTAGATTATAATTTAATACTCCTAAATTATCCCCAGCTGGGAAAAGTGCTAATTAGCTGACTTAATGTTAGTACTCAGAATTTTCTTAATTGGGCAATTATGAAGCGCCTAACTTGCTATCATTAGTGTAACAAATGTTGTAGTCACAAATTATTATACTAACAAGTTCATAATTTTGAAAATGCAAAACCGAAATGTTCTGTATGTCTGTATCAGTTGTACATATGTTAAGATACAATAAGGGAGGTTCATAATTGAATTCATGTCCATGTAACTAGAATCATCTAGTCATCTAGAGATACAATGTTGTCATCTAACGATATTCGCTGCACGTATATTTTATATACCTACCACATGAACACATGACTACGAGAATTCTATAGATGGAGTAATCTTCAAACCGCAACCAAGTGTGCCAAGCGAAATGTGAATGAGAAACTGAACGTAAGCATTCAAAGCTGTTAAATACTGTTAAACTACTGTTAAATACCTCCACCCATCTCAAGCTCCAGATGCTTCAACATATATTAAATTGCATATGGTGCTTATTTCGCGCAAGTTTAGAATTTCAGAAATTTAATATTAGCATCGAATTATTGCGCAAATGTAAATAACAAAGTTGAATAAAACGAATTGAATCTGTCGGAAATATACGGAAAAGCGGAGATGGCAAAGAATGTAAACAGATACCGAAAACGGATATTAGTTACGCTGGAAACTCTAGTTGAACTTGAACTCCGCATTAAAGAAACTTTATTTATATTGAAATAAATCATCTAGTGTGCTTTCAAGTGCACTTATATTAATGTGCACTAGAAGTAAGTAAAAAAGTTGCAATTTAGATGCAGACTGCGCAAGCTGTGCAAGTACTCGTAGTTCGTCCGGCATAATACGCAATTAGCATCATCATTAGCCTCATTATCCTGCGAATGAAACCTTAAAAATCGCTTAATAACACGGATGCTGAGTGCACTTGTGCATTTTATAAACATATTTCTCTATTAAATAACAATATTATACTTAAGTATCCTCGTGAATATTAAATTAAATTATATTCGTATATTTTCGCATTATTATCTCAATAAAAAAATGCACAACAAAAAATTTAATTTAAGTGATTTGCATCTCATGTTTTTCGCTTTAAAAGTCCTCTCCGAGTGGGATAAAACGTTAAAATATCACGTGGCAATTACACTAATGGCAAACCATTCGTAATCGTAATCCTCGTCATTAAAAACCAGAAAAAGCTTCTCATTGCACTCTCCAAAGATGTAAAATCGTCGCCGTCGTCGCCAATTGCATTTTGATATTATGAAAATTTAATGGCCAACTGATTGGATTGCCTCGTTCACATCCGGTCGATTGCGACGCCATCTCGCAAACACATCCGCTTTACCTCCCAACCCCAATTCGACATTTACTGTGCGAAATCCGCTTGCTTTTCAATGTTTTATTCTTATAATAAAGGCAAAAATCTGCATCTCGTTTATATTCTACCAATCTTTCTTTTGGTGCTTCAGGCACTCGTATATCTGATACACCACTTATTTTAATGGCTCGAACATAACGTGGTTGCACGAAGTCGTCGTGATATTGGAAAAAATAAGGATAAACTGGTTTTATTAAAATTTGAGCGTACATTCAGCGTAGAGAAGTTATAACTTGTATTATATCTGAGTGGAGGTGCTGGTGGAAGTTTCCGTGTGGCGAACGGAAGTCGTAAAGTGTTGTTAACGTCGCCCTGCTAAATTTAGAAATCAAGGTTTCGCAAAGGTGTACGTTGTTTGCAACCCCACGGACTTTTTCATAGCTTTGTGCAAAAAATATTTTTTCCAAAACACTATTTCAGACAAAATCTGCAAAAGATTCAGAGAAAATTCTCAGTAAAATAGCAGTAGAAATTATATTTTCCTCTACCTAGGCAATAAACCAAGTGTTTAATAATGGATGGAAATGTAAGAAACATTAAAGAAATTGATTGAAAAATACTTTGATAAATGAAGTGCTATTATTTCGAATGCTTAAAACTTGAAAGGTCAAAATAACGATTTTTATTTTATTTTTGCGTTTCCGTTTCATGTTCACTGCTACCCCAAAGTCTTTGTGCTGACACGGTGCAGACGTGTGACTGATTAACGGCAGTTTGTTTTCCGCACGGACGACAGAACGAATGTCACACGAATACGTTACGTGCGCGTCGTCGTCGTCGCAATCGTTCGACCAGTTTTCAGCTTCGAAGGACATTTCACAACCACACCGCACCGCCATCTGCCGTATCCTCCATTGGACAATACCCAACGTCGATGGTGTGTCGGTGATAAAATGTTTTTGCGACCGAATAGCCGGAAGTGTTGAAAATTCGCCAATTCCTTCGCTCTAATACGCGGATTAGGCAACAAGCACAAAAAAAAATTGTGAAAAGCAAAGTTGGTACAAAAGGAAAGTTTTTGCTCAATGCAAGACATTTTTATCGAATTTACCTTCGCCGGTCCAACGCCATCGAACACGATAACCGGATAACCACATAAAAAGATTACGCGATTCGAAAAGTTGAGGCGTTCGCAAATGTGAAAGCAAATTCGCGCACGAATTCCCTAAGGTGGAAAAGTCGAGCTGGTTTTTTAAGTCGACTTAGATTTATATTCACACTTTGACAATTCCATAAAGCAATTTATATAGATATCTGATTAAAAACGCTTGACTTACTTGGCATTATTCAATGTGATTGGAGTTCTGTTGACGTTAAATGTGCATTCATCGTATAAAAAAAGGATACATTCGAAGCGAGCCACATTTTGAGCCGATCGCCAACAGTTTCTGGATTGGATCGTAGGCGACAGCCGTCGGTTGAAACGGAAATCCATGACGGAATGTCTATAACAGAAAAGAATTCATGTATTTTTCTAATATTATATATAACAATCAATTAGGTTAATAGGTTACAAAAAAAGTTTTATTTCATGAAGGTAAATTGTAAAAAGCCGTAAAATTAAATTAAATTATTTTTTGTTTATTCTATATTATTATTCATTCTTTTTTATATTTACAGTGGAAATTATTTATTCTACTAGCCTTTATTTTTTCCTTACGCATAAATTTACCACCTAGTTTTTATTACGCGCCTCAATCGTGTGACGCGAATAAAATTTCACAAAGTTTTTGTGACCTTTCCCGTTTGCACCAGTTTTACAATCCACAATATTCTCAGTTTCAGTAACCCTTTTTTGCTTTTGCAAATACAATAAAGTTAAAAACAACATCAAACACACCTACAAATAACACCAAAAATCACCAAATATTAGATATTATTTCAATGCATATTCAAAAAATACTCTTTGTTGAAAACTGCGCATGATAGATCGTAAATTTCAATACTTAAAACTTTGAAAAGTCATAAATTTATAATATACCTAAACATCATTCAAAACTTTTGCCGGCGGCGTAAATTTAATGCTTTCTGTGTTTTATGTATTTTAAGACAAGTTTATCCCTCTTCCATTACATTTTACATTTTCAGGAAACTGAATGAAGCGAGTTTTCAGTGCGGTGTGCGAGTTCTCATCATACTTTCTGATGATGCGGCGGCGGTTGGCAATCAAGCAAACTTTTAAGTTCGCCGCCAACGTAGTGAAATGAAAGAAGAGTTGAGCAGAAATGAAGAGGGCTGAAGGAGAGCTAGGTGAAAATGCTGCACGTCGTCGTCGTTTTGAATTAATTTTAATTAATCAACTTGTTGCGTTGCCTTTGATCTCGTCTTTATCTCAATCGCGACTCATCCGTCTCAGAACGCCCCAATTGGCAATTGAAATGTTTGATGAAATCATCGATTACATTAATATTTGCAGTTTACGCTGAATGACTTTTTAATTTTTCAAGTGATGTTTTATAACAGGCGTTAAAATAATTTTTTGAACGCAAACTGAAAATAAAAGAGTGAATTATGTCTCTGCATAAAGTTGAAAGCCACCGCAATTGATTCAATCAAGCCCATTGTCTTGTGCGCGCCCTCGTGCCGCTTTTATTGCATCACGAAGAGCCCTTACCGGGGAGAGATGTACGACGTAAGCCGCAAGTACATTTACTGTCGCGGACGTTTACCAAAAAGTGAGAAGCTCCTAAGCCTTACTACTATTTTCATTTTTTCAACAAAGCTTGCAACTGGGAGTGATAAAAATACAAAATATTTATAACAAAATACTTTAAAAAAGTAAGAATAAATTAAGCTATTAACAGAATTAATATTTAAATAAATCATTTTATATGAAATAATTTAATACCCTGTATATCAAAATGAATTCTGTATGCGTACAGTATGGTGGCAGACTGCGACAGTGAAGTCTTCTCAAGGCAAAAGTACAGAAATAAAAAGAAAAAAAAATGTCAAGGAAGTCAAGAATGTCCCGAAACTCACGGAAAGAGAAGAAATGATATTCTACAATATACTGCACAAACCAGGCGGCGAAGTAAAAATGAAAAACTATTATAAAAGTTTGAAAACTTGCCACGCCAAGTTTAATATTTAATTTTGATAACACGTACAAAATGTAAAAGAAACTGGTGTCAATTGCAACAACTTTGCTTTACCTGTTAGTTCATAACGTAGCTTGCATTGTAAAAACTATAAAACTTTTAATAATTTTTAAAATACGATACTGAAGATCGTTTTTTGATTGTTGTTGATGATATTTAAAGTAACATAAGCTGAAAAAAGCTTTATTTCAATTTTCTTCGACGTGAGAAAAGCTATTCAAGCTCGGATTAAATAAACACCCTACTGCTGTTGCCACTGCGCAAGAAATGCCATCACAACATCACCTTTTCAGCATGACTCACTAAATGTCGCAAAGTGCCCGGCGCCTTCACCCGCACGTCACTTTGCAAATAGCCCGCACGTTTTTAAGAAAATTGAAACGTCTCTCAATTTTATTCACCTCTATCCCCAACAAATTCAATTCCAAATAAATGCTTTCAAACGTAAATCTAAAAATATTTAAAATTATTTATTGACAAATACATGATTCGACGTGCAAAAGCCGTGAAAATTGAATTAATTACCAAATTTATTACATGCTGCAAAATGTTGGTAAGCTTTTCATCGGCACACTAAACATGATGAACACCCCAGAGCGGCGACTACTTTGTACGTAGCAAGTGTAACGTAATTAAAAGCTTAATTACGCAAATTCCTCGCCCGACGTTGTGCGCAGCGAGTCTTTTATAATCAACGTGCCTGGAAACGCTGCATGTCAAAGTGGCGCAACAAAAGAATTCAATATGCTAACAAACAGCAAACAACTTCAAAGGTGTTAGATTATATTCTATGCAATAACAAGCAAACTATAGTCCGTATTTTTGTTTTGACTTCGTTAAAATATATAATCGATTGCCGGTTACCTCTATTATTTTTATTTACGAGTTTCGCAATCGAGCTTGTTTGCGCGATTTGTTGCTGCACGTTTGAATATTAGCTATTAGCCGGAATGTTTGCGTTCGTCGACGGAATGTCAACATCACGACTCCGAGTAAGGGGAGGATAATAATCCGGAATCGAAAAGTTTTTTCCGATTTTTTTTTCTTCTACGCACTAGATTGAAATTTAATCACGTGACAACGCACACAAGCCGTAAAGCAATATTGACTCAGCCATAAAACATTTTATGAGAATCTATTTTATCGTGATATAATAACTTTTCTTGCGAATTAAAAAAAGAAACATTTGTTTACTCTCAACAGATATAAGCGGATAAACCGACATAATAATAGTTGTTTACGCACCAATATAATAATTTTAAAATACTGCCAGAAAGCAACATAACGCGCGAATGAAATTACGCACAAATCAGTGAACGCAGCGCTGAATTTTCGATTAAACACCATCACGCACGACCGATTAATCCATGTTTGTGGCTGATATGCATTCCCTGCAGCCGAATGTTTGTCCATTTCTGCTCGCCGACGCTACAATACTGCACGCTTTGCATGTTTGGCGGGATTAAACATATTATTCAACGTGCAATCGAAACAATATTTTATAAAATCCGCGAAATATTGCACATCAATGCGCATAAAACAAATACGTTTGAATATTGTATTTGTATAGAATTTAAATTAATACCCCCACTGTGGGTTGTACTGATTATTGTAAATTCGTTGTTGATCATGAACGTAATGAATGTCTTATTATTCATCTTGGTATTACGTGCATTGCTAAGTGATTAGAAATCCGGTTATAAATTAGTCTGCGCATTAATTCCACCGATTTGATTCGCGGTTGCGTCGAGGAAATCAATGCAAGATGATGGCAGACAATAGAAATACAATTGAGCGTATCGCGCGGCGCTTCGCTTAATTAATATTCATACTCATACAGATGGATGTTTTGCGTCAATTAGGAAAGGCCCACAAAAGGGCTACACAATTAGCAACGTGCGCACAAATTTACTTGCATTCCTAACCTAACTTAGACCTAAATCAACAACCAAATAGGATTATTTAAATTAATTAACTAAATTCATCAAAGCTTCATAAAGGCATAGAAATCCGATCGATGCGTTTCTGATTGCCGAATATTGACAAGCATGACTGATCCTTTGTGTGATTCACAGTATTGCAACTCAGAACACAGTTCAGAAACTCTCAGGCGGTTTTAACAGAATTATCACAACCGGACATGTGCACATTGGTTTATCTCATCCTAATACCCTTTCGTGACATAACGTGACCAGTGCATATCCTTTGATGTGGAAACATGTGCCATGGGATTCTGCACGTAATCTAAGGTAAACTTAGGTTAGGATTAGTTAGCGATGTCGCAATTCACATGGGAGCCAATAATAAATAAAGATAGGTTATGTTTGGTATTGAATTATCGTGTAAGCGTGGTTTATGGAAGTAAATAGTTGAAGTTCAAGGCTAGTGAAAATTTTTTGGCTCGATTCCCAGCGCACTGACGACAGTACCAGGAATCTAGGTTACTGGAACAAATGAATGCGCAGTGGATCCTTCGACTGTGCAGATATACCCTCTTTGAAAGGACACAATATGTGCAATATACGATATTACATTTTTCAAGGACATAAATCTTTTTATCAAGCAAATAACAAATCTGGTTATAACTGAAGAACGGCTGGGCCAATTTTTAATATTCTTTATTTTTTATATTTGTCTTCATCACAAATATCGGAATAACTATTCAAACAAGAGAAAATGTTATTAATTTTTTTTTCAGTGGGGTTATGTCTTTTCATATAATAGTAAAAGAAAACACATTTCAGGCAATCTATACTACAAGAATAAAAATAAAAGAAAGCAGTCACTGTTGGTGTTAATGTGACAATTAAAGATAAAAGCTCCAATCCCCCTATTTGGAGACAATAGCCAGACCAGATGAACACCGCAGATCCTGGGCTGAAGGACATAGCCGCGTGTGTCTTATGATAGTTCGTTAACTGCTCTATCAGTACGACGCACGCTGAGCTTTGTCCAACAGCCATCAGCACTTTCATTAGCATCGCCATCGATTTTTACCCCCCGACGTTGAACGCCTGAAGACATTTAATATCCAACTTCCGACCTGCCACCGCCGCCTCAAGTCACACCTGAACAAATTTAAATATTGTACGGTGCGTCGTCAGTCGATTTGCATAAGAATGTGAGGCGGATAATAACACATTAACACATTTATTCATTGCTTTCACGCCGGAGTGGAAACAAAGTACACGCCGAGCTTATATGGTTGTATACATTTATGAGACGCTTCTTCGCTACCCGCTTGGAAAATCATCATTGGGCGGCATTCAAGCTTTTCTATTCTAAATATAGACGACACACACACACACATTCACATAAATTTACTACAGGTATGCTCAGTGTTC